AATAATGAATTTGATGTGTATAAATAATGAATTTGATGGTGTAAAATGAACAATGTTTGTGTGTTTTTAAATTCCTGCAGAAGAAACTGATTCAGTCAGTCGAAGTCCAGGTGTTCAGAGGAACATTGTTTTGTTCCAGGGCTTCTGTGCCATGAAGTATGCCATTTATGCACTTTGTGTAAATTTACACAAATACTCTAACTGCACTGAGTGTGAGTTCATACAGCATCACCAGCCTTCAGAAATGGACCAAAACAAAACCTCAGTTTCCTCAGAAGGTAGGAACTTTTTTTCTTTCCTTGCTTTCAGTGCATATTGTATAAAAAGTTTTCTGCTTATTTTTTACAGATTATAATCTCGCTTACAGAAAGACTTGCTAAAAACCAAGTCTTTATTGTTGAAATAAAAATTAACTTTATGATTGCCCAAAGTCAAAATGATGTTTTCACCTGTTCTTGTATTTTTGTGTCTGAAAAAGATCTCATAAAACAGCAGATTTTTCTAGAACTCCTAAAAAGCTTTTATAGGATAAACATCTACACCAAACTTTACAACACACTTCAGTATGGCCCCCACAGCTAATGAACTTTAGCAAAACACTACAACAGTCATAATTTGCTAAATGTTTCAATGAGATAAAATTTAATTTGGTAGTAGCTGTGAGTCATTCACAACACAGCTTGAATGCTAACAGCAGGACTTATAATTTGGCAGGAGGTGAGTTTCACATTTTAACCAGAAGGATTCTACCTCTGTCATTCCTCAGCATGATAATCCCACACACTGGCATAAAATTAAGCTGAATTTAATTTGGTTTATTCATGCATTAAAGCACCAAATGACAACAAAATCATTTTAAGGCATTGTAGAAAAAATAATAATAGTCTAATTAGTAGTCAGTTTCATTCATTTCCAGATTTAAATCCAGTTATGGTCATAATATTTTGTCTTATAAAACAATACATTTAGCACATTATGAATTGTCAGTAAAATTAAGCCATCCGATTGCATCAAATTTTCACTTCAAGTCCCGTAAACTGAGCAGCCATCTGGGGTTTGAGAGAACTGGAAAGAGACAGACTGGCTAAACTTTACAGTAACTATGCAACAAGTAAAATAAACACAAACATGGAGACTAAAGACAACAGCAGAGTGAGGAAATGTGCTCAGTTTGTGCTCCAGCAGTCTAAGTCTATAGCAGCAGAAATGAAGAATAA